GTAATTATGCATTCTTATTGCTCAACTTAAAGTCAATTAGTGTTATAAAACCTCGGATAATTCCAGAAAGATATCTATAATCATTTCTAAGTTAACAACAGTTCAAAGCTTAACCTAACAAATGCATAATTTTGCTTTTACACGATTTGAACAATTCTGCTGTTATACCCGATATATATATATATATATATATATATATATATATATGTAAACATAAATAATTCTATTATAAATTAATTACCCTTTCTATGCAGTGCAATTTTCAAATTTCTAAATACTATATATATATATATATATATATATATATATATATATATATATATATGTATGTGTGTGTGAAAAGTCTATATAAATAAATATATATATATGTATAATTATTTATATATTATATGCGCGGTACTATATATATATATATATATATTAAAAAAACTAAGACATCCTCGTGAAAATGATTAGCCCACATTCAGATAAGTGTCATAAATCTACATACACACTGTTCGGCGGTGTTTAACGACGTCAGAAGTTGAATAAAATGTAATGCCTCTTGATGAGTCAAAGGCCAGCTAACTACAATTGGCGATTCATTACAATCAACGAGCAGAAGGCAACGTGAAACCACTCCAATATCAATCCGAGCATCCATCATGGCAACCCACAATGTTTGCAAGAAACAATTACTGATTTGCTTATTCGTGTAATGTTGACTCATAAATGATTCATCAGATTGTGACTCAGGCTGCGTCGATTAAATCCTCTTGCAATTACTTAGCGGATTAATTATTTACGTACGTTGCACGTGCAACTAGCCTTTCATTTCCTATACCCAGATTTCATGTTTCGTTCAATCAGACATGATTCTGTGCCTTCCGCTTGGGTGAGAAACATCTGCAATCGTGCATTCATATTTGAAGAAAAAATCAGCAGATAAAAATATAATTTTCTAATCCGCTTTCGATTATTTATTTATTGGTACATTTTGAAAACACACAATTCGAACGTAGACTTTCGGCTCATCGGCTGGTTTATTGCTGGCAACAGAGCAAGCTATATAGGGTGTCCGGTCGTGATGGAATAGATCGGAAATTCTACACAGAGATAATTGCCAGTAAGCGCGTTCCTCACCGCGCGCTGCAAACTTGATGTTGAGTAGAAGACTAGTTGTATAATGATCAGGAAGTTGTCTTTGTAAAACAGTAGTAGCAAGTTCGATCTTCACTAAATGCAGCATACTTGTAAACTTCTACAAAAAATAAGTTTCGTCTTCTTCTTCTCCTTCTTCTTCTTCTTCTTCTTCTTCTTCTTCTTTGTGTTGTGGTCTTTCAAGACGGGGTAGAGAATAACCCTTCACAGCTTCTTAACCTTTGTTGCTCTTAGGAATATTTGTCTTATCACTCTTCCCCCTAGTTCCTCTTCTGTCATCCGTTTACCCTGACTTGTTACGTAGGTTACCATCTGTTTCCCTCTGTCCCGTAGCTTTATATGTCTCGGGAATTTCTGGTTCTCAGTATAAGCGTCTCTTTTTGTTTTCCATTTTTCTTAAAACTTACTCATTACTCAGATGTTCAGTCTATGGTACTCTTAGAATTCTTCTGTTGAAACACATTTCTCTTGTGTTTTTTTTTATTGTTAGTTCACCCAATGCAAGACCTAAGAGCCACTCTTACTAGAGGTTTTCTGAATGGGAATACATTTGTAAGAGTGGGGGAAGTAGCAAGTAAGACGTGTCTATTAGGAATACGTGTAGAATAGATATCGGTTGACATTATGGTAAAAAGTTTAATATTTTAGTTGCCGGGGAAGCACTCAATCGGGAGTTTCCTCCATAAAGTAAGAGTTCTGTGGAAGAAAGTGTGTGAGTTGAACTTGGTCTTTATTAAAAGAAAAACGAAATGATGTTGAAGAAAAATATCGCCATTTCCTTCAGGAGAGCATTGTCTAGCCTTCACTGCCATATAGTAGAACTGATATTGCATAAAAGCTTAGTACTACTTTCTTTTTCTCTAATGATATTTTCCGGTTTCTTAATTCTTTGCTTAGCTTTTAAAAGGCCTATTTTACTATTCTAATTCGCCTTCATCCTTTATTAAAACACTTCCCAGATATTTAAATTTTCTTATTCAATGCCAAGGGGGTTCCTACCGTTTCCCATCTCATTTTACTATACTGTGTCATCTATATATCGTATGTTAAGATTGTCCTCCAGTAATGATTTCTGATATGACTTTTAGTCTTGTCAAGATCGACTTGCTATAAAGGGAATAAGGCTACATTTTGCAAATATCAACAGATGAAACTTGCGTTAATCTTTCATACTCTTTAACAATCTTAACATTCGCCACACAAACACCACATTCTCTCGTAAGTTGATTTCTCAGTTGTTGTAACTTAGTACAATTAGTAAACACATATTTGGTCATCCTATCAGAAACAATCAAAATACAACTATCAATATGAGACAAATTTTACTAGATAATACCAAATATTATGCAGTCCAAACTGCAAATAAAAACCCGGAATTTTAAAAGGTATTTTCATACAACATAGACAACCCACGTTAAATTAAATATATTTCAACACAGGTGAGAGTATTTTGAAGTATGTATACGATAGTTCATATATGTAAAGAAGAAATGTAATAATAATAATAATAAGAAGAAGAAGAAGAATACTTGTAATAATAATAAAAAGAAGAAAAAGAAGAATTTAATAATAATAATAATAATGATAATAATATGAAGAAGAAGAAGAAGAAGAAGAAGAAGAAGCAGGAGGAGAACAACAACAAGAATTGTAATAGTAATAAAAAGAAGAACTGTACTAATAATAGGAAGAAGTATAATAAGAATTGTAATAATAATGTGTAGAAGAAGACGGACACGAAATATAATAATAATATTAATAATAATAAGACGAAGAAAAAGCAGAAGAATTATAATAATAATGATAAGAAGAAGAAAAAGAAGAAATAGAATTGTAATAATAATAAGAAGAATTGTCATAATAATAATAAAAAGAAGAATTGTAATAATAATAAGTCGAAGAAAACAAGTATGTATATATATATATATATATATGTGTGTGTGTGTGTGTGTTTAATACTCTTCTTGCTGAGCTCCATGTAAACATTCTGTACATTGCGTCATTTTGGACATTCTTTTATAGTGCTCAAATGCACACATACAAAAAATACACTCGCACACAGATTGTTTCAAACTTCTATCTTTGTCTTGAACAGGAGTAGAGGTTTATCCATCGTTTCCTGTTTAGGATTGGGTTTCCGATTCCTTCTAAATTCTACTTCAACCTTATACTTCTAGCATTTCCATCTAAACTCTAAAATTTATACTATTATTGTGTTTCCGGTTCGTTCTTAAGTCTTTTTCTTCTATTTCACTGCCAGTCTTAATGTCCTCATCGCTTTGCTTGGGATGGACTGATTAAATAATATATATATATATATATATATATCCCCAAAGGCACATGGCCCATTAGATAAAAGCGTTGCTTGACGTAATCCAGTGGCTTGACCCAAAGAGTTGTGAATTCAATATATCTGGCCGGAGCAGAAGTAAACAAAAACTTGGAGAGTTACAGAAACTGAGATATCCAGAAAATGCTGAAACGGGCAACTAGAACAATCTACGAAATAATTTCAACGTATATCACCTGAAGAAGACCGGAGCGGACATTGGCCGAAATGTCGTTAAGGAGAATATTTGAGGACAACAAGTTCGAAAAAATATATATATATATATATATATATATATATATATATATTATGAAATGGACAAAGTCCGACAATTATTTTTAAGATATTTTTTATGTTTATACCATTTTTTTATGGATACAAATATTTAAGTAAATCCTCTATTTATAATAAACAGTATTAACAACATTTCCCGGACTGAATGCCGGAGAAATTATCATAGAAAAAAATTATGTCTTAAAAATACTAGTCGGACTTTGTCCATTTCATAAAATGTGAAGTTTGCACATTTGTTTACATTTGGATACGCATTGAGCAGATATAAATGGATGAGAGAAAATCATATAGAATTGTGTTTAAATACAGTCAAATTGACCTTGCTAACCGAACGCTCCTCTGTGGCCCAATCGGTGAAGGCACATCAGGCTAATGACGGTTCCGTATAGGATACAGGTTCGATTCATGTCGGAGGACGCATATTGTCTCTAAACATTTCTCGGGCTTTCAGGCCGGTAAATGTTGTTAATACTGTTTATTATAAACAGAGCATTTACTTAAATATTTATATCTATAAAAAGAACGTATAAACATAAAAATGTCTTATATATATATATATATTGAGTGTATTTTTTGTATGCGTGCATTTGAGCACTATAAAAGAATGTATAAACATAAAAATGTCTTTTATATATATATATATATATATATATATATATATATATATATATATATATATATATATTGTCAATTGCAGAAAAACGTAATCTCCAACCGAACGATTGCGCTGGTAGAAATGTAGCGGCTGCTACCAAGAAAATTACTTTTTTTTTTTTGTTAGATTACGAAATGAGAATGAAGGCGCTGTCATTACAGTACGAGATTAATCGAAAAGACGATGAGCAATAAGTTAGACAAAATTCGATTACTTTCTATTAATCTAAGGAGACTATTTTCTTTTCAAGGTGTGTGGAGACGTATTCAACCAAAACAAGATGAGCTCGGCCGCTGAGTCAATTCAAACAGATTCACTTTTAAGTTGAATCGAAACGGATCAATCAAGACATAGTCTAATATGTGATAAAACCGAGTTTGTTATGAAGGATTAAGTTGACAGTGTGAACGAAGATGAACACGGAGCACCTTTAACGTAATGAGATGTCTTATCTGACTTGATTGATGCACAGGCTTGGACTGTGTTTGGCTCCAAAGTAAACAGACAGGTTAACGTGACCCATCTTGCCCTACCCACCTGTCCTTCACGACCCTTTTCTCTACCTGCCTCCCCCGGCAGACCTCAACGGATCGATAGAGAAGTTCGATCATCCAGTAAAGAGGGAAACAGCTGCAGGAAGGGATAGTGAAGAGTGGAAGGTTCGTGAGGATGGTGTTTACATTTCACTGCTACTGTAATTAACAGAATCAAAATTACTCTGAGAGATGCGTCGTTGTCTAAGGGCAACTGGAGTTTGCGTTTCTTGTTGAAAA